ACATATAATAGTATTGCATTAGCAGCCCAAGGAATTCCTATTGAATTGCATACATCTGAAAACAGAAAGACGTGCTTGTGCTGAAACTTAATTATCTTGGCAAGAACTGTGAGGGCCAGATTCTCAGAAGACATAAACACAAAGCTCTGCTTTACACTCCTGAGGACCTAATTCTTTGTTTATTCAGATAACCTCCATCAGATAAAACTTACCATTTGGATTGACTAATTTGCCTTATTATTTATGGTATCTGCAGCTAAGTAACACAATTACTACTCAGCCTGTGAGTAGGAAAAAGAATACTGCTGATCTACAAATACAAGGTCTGAAAGAGACAATCAGCGTGCTCTGCCAGGTTAAAAATGTTAATGCTGTTGCATTCCAACCTAGGCAAAGAAGACAAGCCTTTTTCAAGGACAGTTTTGACTGAAATTCTTTTTTATGGGTTCAAAGTAAAACATTATGGTAAAAAAATGAATACAGCTTTGTTTGTTTCTTCAGTCATCGTTAGCAATAGACATAAAGGTATTCTGTTTTTGAGCCCATATGGAAAGATCATCAACACTTTCTGCTTCTGGGTCCTTTGCCAAAATACCATATCCCACATGCCTTTTACCTTAAAACATAAAAGAAAAGGTGTTGTTCTGGTCAAATAAAGAAATAATTTTTACTAACATACGTCTAATGTTAAAGCTGCCTAAATCCTGCCAAAGACATTAAAACACCATCTGCAAAACAGATTTTCATTAAATTGATCAGTTTAAAGTTAAGCAGCTAGGCAGATGATGCTTTGGAGCTAACCTTTAACCTTCAACCTTCTTAAACTGAAATCAGGTCACTCCTTTTGGGTAATATCTTTGCCGTTTGAGAACATGAGAGGTAAAGTGATCTATCCAAATTGAACTGACAATCATAGCATTAATAGTGTTAAGGATCAATATTTTGTCAATAAAGGGAAAACCAAAGTAGTTTTCACACAGCTGAGTACTACTCTGCTAACTGCTGCCTGTCACTTTCCCTGAGTTCCTAAATAGTTGCATATATGACGTAATCTACGGTAAATATCTAATATAAAATTAATGTCTTTTAAGGCTGTTATCAGCTAATTGAATAATATTTTTTATAGACTAATTTTAAATATTCATTTGTGGTTAGAAATTGATCCTGTTGTTCAGTTACTTGGTTAACTAAAACTTCTTTTCAGCCACTCCAGTTTACTTTGCAAAAAGGATACCCTGTATTTATTTATTTATTTATTAAAAGTATTTGGAAACTATTTAATGAGCACAGGACACGATATATGCGGTTCCCTGAATCAAAAGCTATTTGACTAAGCTACAAAATGGTTTCCTTAAGAGCAGTTCCAGCTATATGTACTTTATATCCACAGAGATAGATCACCGTCCTGCCTCAGCTTCCCAAATCTGCAGAAGTTGAACGCTTCTTCCTGCAGCGTGGACATGCACTCTGTTGCTATAGAGGCTTTCTCTGTTTGCTGGTGGAGTCACTGAATGCTTCTTGATGGATGCTGCGAAGGACTCGCAACTGGTCTGTGGTTTAATTTGCTAATGTCGAGCTCCACAATTCCAAATGTAAGTCTTTGGGAAATTCATTTAGCCCAAGCTGAGTTCACTCAGGGTAAGGCTGTCTTTGTTCTGGTTCCTAGCAGCTGCGTTACCAACACCATTTGAATACTGTGTTTCTGTAACAAGCAATCAGGCCATTTCTTTTTTAAATAACTTAAAAAACAGCTAAAGGTTTCACTTTGCCACATTTAGAATCTAGCTCTAAAAGTGACATTTCAATACTGCCTAAAATTATACAGCCTCAGAAGAGAAGCTCTGATGTTCATGGTTGCTTTAAATGCTACAGTTATGAAAAGCCATCCTTTTATTCCATCTATACGTAAGCACAGGAAGAGAAATCAAGCTGTTACGGCAACATTTATAAAAAGAAAATTCACTAAAACAGTAACATTTAAATAAATATAAATGACTAAAGAAAAAACTTTGAGGTACTTGACAAAGCAAAGGAACAAAGTCACAGATTTTTTTTCTGTGCTTTCAGATGGTTTTAGTATTAAAGTTTTTATTGCCAAACCATATTCACAGCATCTTCATTTTAAAAGAGTTGGAGGAGCTGCTTGAATATAAACACAATTCATGAATATTCGGTAACACTCCCAAGGTATATATCTGTTATTTATACAAATTAATGTTCTTTTTTTCCTCAGGTGCTCTAAAAGTTTGTCTGATGTATCAAGAGAAAAAAAGTTTACAGTTCTCTTGATGTCAACAGCTTCACCAAGACCTGACAAAACTATCAAGTCTGCTAGCAGATAACTTTACAGACTTTCAAAATCTCATTTATTTCCACCTTGAGGCCTGAATGTACATCCACAATTAAAAGTAAAGTTTTCTGGGTGACGTACAGAGGCATTACATTCTGTAATGCATGTTATAAAGCATACACATCTAGAACATTTTGGTTATTTGAGACACATTGTAGTACTGCCAAGCCCAAATCTTAAAAAAACCAATAATATTAATACCCCAATTGATATTTTAAATAAGTCATTCCTCTCCTTCAAATTAGCCTTAAAATGAGATTATATAAAAATCGCGTGTGCACGTGTACATGTTATCTGCTTTCTGAGAGTTCTTAAGCCTAGCTGGGTTCAAATTTCAAGCTTCTCTAAGAAGTCATGAGAGACAGAAACTTTTTAAAAAGCTGAGATTTTCACTAGCAATCCTAGGGACAGGTCTTAAAAAATACATGTACCAGGAGACTTGCAACCCTATGGTTACCAGCAGTACACTTTCAATTGTCCTTCTGTAGGACATGAAGCTTAGAGGATGTCTAAGAGCTTATGCATTCCTTCTCCACTGAGATGTCTTTCACACTGACTGATTCAGAGACTGGAAAAAAGTTAGCGATGGTCATTTGCCATGTGTGATAGCTGCACCACATAGGCACTACTGAATTGCTTGATCTAACAAACCAGGATCCGGAAAAGAAGCAGGTTCAGCGGCAGAACATTTTTAGTGATGAGGGCTAAGAGCTGAGACTCGCTCCCTTAGTACGCTAAATCAAATGTTTTGTAAGACATGCTGCAAACCCAAACATATTTGACGAAGATTTCTCTAGGGGTCGGGTTGAGTGAGTGAAGAGACAGTGCTGTTTTGAGCAGATAGGTTGTACCTTGCAACTCCATAGCTACGCCCACAGCTTTGTTTAAAAAACGAGCAACTGGCATCTTATTTTCAACAGTCGCCGAAGCTTTGGCAGTGAAGCCATCTGAGAAAAGCCCTCTGCCTTCCCATCTCCCATTCTATCATTCCTATCTGTGACACAGTTTGCAGCAGCATCTCTCTGAATGGTGGCATTATAAAACAGATCGTTGAAATAATCCAGGTTAACACTCCAAAAAAGAGATGGGGACCAACTATGTTTAACCTAGATCATTTAAAAAACCTGACTTCGAGTGTGGCTCCACCATCAGCATAAATGGAGGGAGCAAGGAACCGCTTCATGGGTGACAGGGAGCAGGAACTTCTGAAGGCAGTTTTGCTGCTGAGGCAGGCTAACTGTGTCACTAAACTCTCAGCTCTTTTGGCACTTTTCAAAATGGGACTTTGGATCTTCAAAAAAACCAACAAACAAGCACAAAAAGCCCCACCTCCCTAGAGTTAAGGAAAAATGCAATTTAAATAAAACACATTATGAAATTAGCAGAGCAGCCAGCACTGTGGGACAATATAATAGACCCAATCTTGTGTTACTGCCATTTTTGTCCATAGCAGATCCACCGAGGTTACAACTATCAGGTTATAAAATGAAAATCCTTGTTACTGCCTGTGCACCCTGTGTTAGCTCAGAACAACCATTTGAACATGGTTGAACACCAGCAAAATGTTATTTCTTTCTCAAACTAGAGGTCTGCTGAGGCTTTTCTACATTTGTTCCGTGTGTACACGTTTTCAACATAATTAGAAAACCAGCATAGTTGCTGTAATCAGCAGATGACTCCTGATAGTTTAGTTATCACAGATTTCTAGTATAAATCAATAGATAACACTTGCAAAATGGATTTTCTAATCATATTTAGAGCTTGTTACAGTGACTAATGGTTTGCAATATTTCCTGAATTTTTATATCCCCTAGACAAAAGAAGTTTTTAATAAGTTACAAAGTTATTCATCTTGGAAATGAATGTGTTATATTTTGTACATGAACCAAGACAATCAAGCCAATCCAGTAAACACACTGCAGAAAATAAGTTACCCCATAATTAGGGTTTGGAAAAAGTCATGACAAGTTGTGTAATAAATGGTATTCATCACTCCCACATATTCATTATATCCACATAGTTTTTTCCAGTAAAGATAAAAATATAGTTGCCGTTCTACTAACATATTTATCTACACCACACCCTTTCATGTTTGTGAAAAATCATTACTGGCTTGGAAAAGAAGGGCAGACAAAAGGATGACAGCGCTTACTTTTGAATATCCTTGGTAATAATGTGGCATATTGCCTGTGCTTACTGAAAATACCAACGTAATACTTGGCTGTGATAGATTACAGTTGCAAATAGGTACATATGCCAGAAAGTGATCTCCTTTCCTATGCACGATATGGAAAAATCATCATTTTCCACAATCTCCGTCAAGCTTCTGATCAAAATGTAATGAACAAAGTCTGAAAAGATTGCAAGAGATGTAAAACCCCTCTAGCCATTTATTATGAGAGAACTTTTTTTAAAAAAATGTACGTTCCCTGTGTTCACAGCAAGTGCATCCTAAACGGGCCCTCGGGTGAATCAACACGACTCATCAGGAACACTCCTCCCTGACTAGCCTGCATAGTTTTTGTTCGATTATACGCGTGTTCAATAAACATTAATTCTGCTGATTAACCGAAGTCTTGTTCGATTAGGACTGAAACAGTTAATTTCCTGGTCTACTTGGTGCCGACTGAAATTGCTGTCACTGGCTTAC